TCTCCCCCCAGCCAGCAACTGGATGGAGCCGTCTGATCCCATCCCAGTGTGATGGATGCACTTCCCAAGCCATAAATGCCACTTTGGAGCACACGGGGTGAGGTTCATCCTTCTTGTGGTCACAGAAGCTGATGCTGAGCCAGACCCAAACCTCAGGAGCTCAATGTCACTGGTGGCTGTTGCTTTGCCAGTGGGATGGACACGTTTGGGTGCCTCTTTCCAGGCTCTCCAGTGTGTTCTCCTCTCCTGGGTCATGCCTGTCCTGATCCCAAGGAGCCGATGGGCTCCGAGCGCTTCCAACAGCTCCAAAGAGCCCAATGGCTGCTGGCTTCTTGCCCTGCATCATCCTCTCCTTCCTCATCACATCTCTGTGAGGTTCCTGCTCCAGGCTGTAGGTGGAGAGGGCAGGTTTTGGCTTTGGGGGGGGGTTTGGGTGTAAGGTGGCATTTCCAGCCAGTTTGGTGATGCAGGTTCCCCCTGGACCCATGGCAATGGGAGGGGGTGAAGGTGGCGTTTTCTTCTCCTCCTGGTTCAGCTCTTGCTTGAAGACGTTCAGGGCAAGAAGCCCCACTGATCTCTTGCTTTGTGCTTCAGGGCGATTCCTCCTGCTCTTCACATGCTCCCAAGGGATGGAGCACCCCAGACCCTGCTCTTTGCCTTAGCTTAGGTTCACCCAGCAGCATCCATCCCTCCTCCGTGGCCCATTTGATGGGATCCTGGGGCTCCGCCAAGGGGTTTGAGGGTCACCTTCTGGTGGTGATGGGGAGGCAGGGAGACCCCCCAAGGGTTGCACCAGCCACTGGGATTCATTGTCCTGGTGACCAGAAATGGCTGAGCCCCACAGCCCTGGGTGGTTGTTCCTTCCTTGGCCTCCAAATCCCTTGGGATTAGGGAGGTTTTTGGGATCAGTGCTGCCTTTTCCTCCCCAAAGTAGCTCCTTGGTTCTGGATTCCGATGGCTCAGCAGATGTGGTCAGTGTTGGACTTTATGGACCCGTTTCCCTCTGGTTCCCCCCCCCTTCCATGCCCTGAAACAAGCCCAGGAGGTGACAAAGGGACACAATGGTCCCTGGGGAGGGGGGAGGAAGGTCTGGGATGTCCCTTGGTCCCCCCCCACGCTGCTTCCTATGCCGAGCTTCCATGGGAGAAGCCAAGAAAAAGGACACCCCCCCCCGAGGGTGTAGTATCTATTAAACCCCACGTATCTATTGAGTATATACAGCCCTATATAGACGTATAAGCAACTTCCCAAGCGGATGCGCAGCTCCTTATGGTTGTTCCAGCTGTAACCCCCTTCCCGCGGTGTCCCCCCACCCTGTGAGCGGGTCCTCACAGCCCCCTGGGGACACGGGGACACACGGGGGGGACACGTCTCGTACCAAACATGTAACGTGCCTTTTATTTATGCTGCAAATATAACATTAAATATTACCCAGGAGCCGGCGCCTGCTGCCCTTTGCTTCGGGGGAGGTGACCTGGGTGGGTGGCACCCGTCGGGGGGGATACAGGGTTGTCACCCACTTGGGTGATGCTCTGAGTCCTCCTTGGGGGCACCATGGGGTTGTCGCTTGTCTGGGTGACACCATCCAGCCATAACTTGGGGTACCGCGGGGTGTCAGCCTTTGAACCTGCCTGAGGGGGGATACACGGTGGTCCGGGACATCCACGGGCTGATTTGGGGCGATTTCCGCTTGGTTTGTGGCAAAGGGAGCGGGTGAAACGCGCGGTCCGTGTGTCCCGTCGGGGCTGCAATAGCGCAGCGCGGCCACACGGTGGCGGACATGAGCCGCGGTGGAGAAGAAGGGGAACCGAGAGGGGACCGGGATGGTGGGGGGGTGCAGGGGAAAGGTCCCGGTCTCAGGGTCCCTGGTTGGGGATTGGGAACAGAGATGGGGGGGTCCTGACTTTGGGGAGTCCCGGTCCGAGTCGGGGGTCCCGGGACTGGGGGGGGGTCTCTTGGTCCGAGCAGCCCCGGTGGTGCTGGATGAGGGTCCCAGGCAGGGGATGTGGAGGAGTCCCCATCCATTTGTCATCATCCGCCCATCACCCGTCCGTATCCATCCATCCCCGGGGGCCGTCGCGGCTCGTAAATGGGTTCCATTAAGGGCGGGGGGGGCCGGGATTGATTTAACCCCCGGCCTTTTCCCCCGGGACCCCCCGCTCCAGCCCGGCTATAATAAGAGGCGCCGGCGGCAGCGGGCGGTGGGGACGATGGACGGGAGGATGCTGCTGCTGCTGCTGCTGCTGGGGGGGGCCCTGTGCGCGCCCCTCTCCTGCCCCGTGGACCCCGGCCTGGCCCCGGTGAGCGCCGTCAGGGGCTGAGGGGGGGGGGGCTGAGGACGGGCTCTTCTGTTGCTGGGGGACCCTCCGGGTCCGGCGCTGCCGTAACCTCCCCTCCCGACCTCCCCGTCCGACCCCTCCCCGCAGGCCGCCTCCGCCGCCGTCTCACCGGGGCCACCGCTTCCCGCAGCCTTCCTGGGCGCGATGCTCCGGTCTCTGCAGCGGCCCGGCCGCAGCCCCGGACCCCCCGTCCAGCCGCAGAGGTGAGCGGGACCCGAGGGGGGGACGGGGACAACCGGGGGGAGGGGGGATCGGAAGGGTCTAGGGGGGAGCCGGGAGTTTGGGGGCACCCAGAGCGGGACAAGGAGGTGGCCTGGATGGTGCCGGGTCCCTGTTAGGGCCGGTCTGTCTGTGGATGTCCCATATCCATGTCCCTCGGTCTGCTTCCATCTGTTCCATCCCCTTCTGTCTGTCTGTCGCCACTGTACCTGTCCTTGTCCATCTGTCCACTCTCTTGCATCCCTCTGTCCCCTTTGGTCCCTCTGTCCCCCTGTACCAGTCTGTTCTTGTCTATCTGTCCATCCTCTTGCATCCCTCTGTCCCCTTCGGTCCCTCTGTCCCCCTGTACCAGTCTGTCCTTGTCCATCTGTCCATCCTCTTGCATCCCTCTGTCCCCTTTGGTCCCTCTGTCCCTGTCCCCTTGTACCAGTCCATTCTTGTCCACCTGTCCATCCTCTTGCGTCCCTCTGTCCCGTTTGGTCCCTCTGTCCCTGTCTCCTTGTACCAGTCCATTCTTGTCCATCCTCTTGCATCCCTCTGTCCCCTTCAGGCCCTCTGTCCCTGTCCCTCTGTATCAGTCTATTTTTGTCCATCTGCCCATCCTCTTGCATCCCTCTGTCCCGTTTGGTCCCTCTGTCCCTGTCCCCTTGTACCAGTCCATTCTTGTCCATCCTCTTGCATCCCTCTGTCCCCTTCAGTCCCCATGTCCCCCTGTACCAGTCTGTTCTTGTCCATCTGCCCATCCTCTTGCATCCTTCTGTCCCCTTTGGTCCCTCTGTCCCTGTCTCCTTGTACCAGTCTGTTCTTGTCTATCTGTCTATCCTCTTGCATCCCTCTGTCCCCTTTGATCCCTCTGTCCCCCTGTACCAGTCTGTACTTGTCCATCTGCCCATCCTCTTGCATCCCTCTGTCCCCTTCGGTCCCTCCGTCCCTGTATCCCCTTGTCCCTACATCCATCCTACCCAGTCCATGCGTCTGCCCCATCACAGGGTGAGGGTCCAGCCCCAGCTCAGCCTTCGCAGTTGGGACCCTCCGGCCGCCCCCTTCTGGACCATGGCAACGCCGCAGCGCTTCGGCCGCCGCCGCTGAGCCCCCATCCGCTGAGTCTGTCCCAGTGTCCGTCCATCGTCATCTGTCCCCCAATAAACTGATGCCACCCCCTGATCAGTGATCGTTCGTTGGTTTGGGCTTTAAAATGTGGGGTGTTTTCTTCATTTCTTATTTTAATTTTTATTTTCACACATTTATTTCATGTATTTTTATCTTTTTTAACCTTTTTTGCTTGTTTTCTGCCAGGGGTCGCAGTGGGCTCCATGCTGAAGGGGGCATGGGGTGGCAATGTCACACAAGGCACCTCAGACAGAGTAGGGATGTGTGCAGGGGGATCGGAATGGGACCGGGTGGGATGAAGGTTCTGGCACAAGGCAGAAATCCCCCATCAGATCATCATCCATTGGATCATCTATTAGAATTCAATCCGAATTAAATCCAAAGGGATCCCAGTTACCTTTCATATTGGGGTGGGGTATTTAATCCTAAATCCCACTGGCACAGGTCTGTAGGCTCAGCATGTGCATCCCAATTGTCTTTTTCCTTAAAACTCCAGGAACTGAGGGAAAAACAAGGCACTGGAACCAAGCTGGGGGCAGAGGCTGATGCTTTGATATCCCCCAGGACCAGTGGCCATGGGATCCCCATGGGATGCTCGGGAAGGTTGGAGACATCAGGAATGAGCAGCAGGATTTAGGGAAGGTTTTATTACACTTTAGGGAAGGGAAGGGGAGAACTGTGGGTCTGAAGGAAAGGGAGCAGGTTCAGGAGGAGGAGGCTGGGAAACCCCGGATGGGTGAACACAGCTGCATGTGATGGATGGATCCTTCCCTTGGAGCATCCAACGGCTGCCGGCCATGGAGGGTCCAACATCCCCGTGCTCATGGTGCTGGGAAGCTGATGCCTTGGTTTGCCATTTAATTGTACCTTAAAAATCAAACCCAAACCGACACGGAACGGCTTCAGCTCCCCCTGAAATCAGAGTCAGAGCTTTGGAACAGCAACAGGGGTTTAACTCATTGGCAAAGGAGCGACCACTTTGCTTCAGCTAGACCAAACCATGATAATACACCCCATAAATGCTGATCCCACCATGTTCATCATAGAATCATGGAGTGGTTTGGCTTGGAAAGGACCTTAAGATCCAGTTCCAACCCCCTCCCATGGGCAGGGACTGATAGGCTGAGTTGCTGAAATGAGGTGCAGAACATCAGAACGAAAGCATGGGGAGAACAAACCAACCTCTTCCCATTGGAAGTGGCTGAATCCCCCACCCCATCCAGCTTCATTTCCTTCATCTTATTACAAATGAATAGCAGAGAGTCCCCATTTCCTATGACTCATTTTGAGCCTTGGCTGTTGGGGATGACTTACACCAGCAGTGGGGATGCAGCAGGGAAAGGGATGCTGCGCTGCTCCTCCTTTAGGTACCTCTTTGTGGAGCTGCCAAACAGGAGAGGAAAGGTGGGGATAAACCATCCCAAAGTGGGGTTTCACTGGGGATGGGGCTCATGGGGCGGTGCTGGGTCATTGGTGCTCCCTTCCCACCTGAACCGCCTGGTGTTGATGAGCCAGTGCACGAAGTCCTTGGCCTTCATCTGGTCCAGGTAACGGGTGAAGTCGCTGGTGAAGGTTCCTTCCGAGTGCCGCTTCCTGTTGGATGCCAAGGTCTGGGCACTCTGTGGCTCGTGTGAGCTCCATCTGCTCGGGATGGGGCAGACAATGTGGCTTTAATGCACATGGTGCCAACCTGCACCCTTCTGGGCACAGAATCCTCTCAAGCATTGACCGTGTGGAGCATCCTTCATGAAGGCTCTAAGAATCCATAAAACCCATTTCCCAAGGGGGTCACCCCAGCCTGGCCAGGTTTGTTCCTGGCATTATGTGGGATATTTCATCCCATATTATTTGCCCTCTGGCTTGCTTGGCTGTGGTGGGTTTGTGCCTCCAATCTGCTGCTCCTGGAAAGGAGTGTGGTGGTGCCCGAGGCTCCTATCAACCCCTCCAGGATGGAGAGATGATGTTGGGGTCCCTCCTATCCCAAATTCACCCCAGCAGAGGGTTCCCAATGGTTTTTCCTTCCCATGGAGTGAGGCTCAGCATCCCGCCCAAGCATCCTGCCCAATGTATCCTGCCCAAAGCTCTGCTCTGCTACCTCCCACTGCATCCCATCCCTGGTCTGACACATCCAAGAATTCCAGGGGATTGGACATGGCACTGTCCCTGCATGGGCTGGGAGAGAGCCAGGAAGGAGCATGTCTGGAGCAATGAGAACAGGAACGCTGCAGTAGTGAGGCAGCAACAGCAACGGTTGAGCTGCTCCTGCATCCCCTGCCCATGGTGGCATCTCCTGGACCAGCTCCACCAACATTCCCTACCTGGATGTGTCCTCCAGGTCCTTGGTGCCCATCGGCCACCCTGTGGGGATCAGCACGGCCAGCACCAGCCCGCAGAGGTTCAGCCACCGCACGACCTGCATTGGTCCTCTGGAGAAGGCAAAAGTCACGATAAAGGCATCCATGTCACGACAGAGAAAACCATCACCACTGCCCTCGGCCCTGCAGCGTGGCACGGGACAGGTCCAGCCTGGGACAGCTCCATCCTGGGGGTGCTGGGGTTTGGATGGGTGCAATGGGAAGTGCAGCCTCACAGTTCCCTATCGGCACCTCTGCCATTGCTTAGGAGCCCTATTTCCATCCAGGAGCCCTATTTCCATCCAGGAGCCCTATTTCCATCCAGGAGCCCTATTTCCATCCAGGAACCCTATTTCTACCCAGGAGCCCTATTTCCATCCAGGAGCCCTATTTCTATCTGGGAGCCCTATTTCTATCCAGGAGCCCTATTTCTATCCAGGAGCCCTATTTCTATCCAGGAGCCCTATTTCTATCCAGGAGCTCTATTTCCATCCAGGAGCCCTATTTCTACCTAGGAGCCCTATTTCCATCCAGGAGCACTACATCTGTCTAGGAGCCCTATTTTCATCCAGGAGCACTACATCTACCTAGGAGCCCTATTTCTATCTAGGATCCCTATTTCCATCCAGGAGCCCTATTTCTATCCAGGAGCCCTATTTCTATCCAGGAGCCCTATTTCTATCCAGGAGCCCTATTTCTATCCAGGAGCCCTATTTCTATCCAGGAGCCCTATTTCCATCCAGGAGCCCTATTTCTACCTAGGAGCCCTATTTCCATCCAGGAGCACTACATCTGTCTAGGAGCCCTATTTTCATCCAGGAGCACTACATCTACCTAGGAGCCCTATTTCTATCTAGGATCCCTATTTCCATCCAGGAGCCCTATTTCTATCCAGGAGCCCTATTTCTATCCAGGAGCCCTATTTCCATCCAGGAGCACTACATCTACCTAGGAGCCCTATTTCCATCCAGGAGCCCTATTTCCACCCAGGATCACTCTATCTAGGAGCACCATTTGTCTCTTGAGCTTATCCCTAAGGTGCTGGGGAACTTCCCTGACCATTCACTGCTCGGAAAAGCACTTCCAGAAGAGCCGAGTGTTTAGCCTGACATTCCTTATCCTCCCTGGATGCCTTTGGCCATTCGGGAGGAGTAAAATTCCAGCCCCAACCCCTTATTTCCTGATAATCAGACTTTGGGATGCCCGTCACCAACCGCTTGCATGACTCGGGTTTGATTTCTTCCAATATAGGTAGGGAAGAAGGGAGGAAAAGGGTTTAATCCCAAGATTGGTGGGGAAGAAGGGAGGAAAAGGGTTTAATCCCAAAATCGGTGGGAAAGAAGAGATGAAAAGGGTTTAATCCCAAGATCGGTGGGAAAGAAGGGAGGAGAAATGTTTAATCCCAAAATTGGTGGGAAACAAGGGGGAAAAGGGTTTAATCCCAAAACTGGTGGGAAAGAAAGGAGGAAAAGGATTTAATCCCAACATTGGTGGGAAAGAAAGAAAGAAAAGGGTTTAATCCCAAAACTGGTGGGAAGGAAGGGAGGAAAAGGGTTTAATCCCAAAATTGGTGGGAAAGAAGGGGGGGAAAGGCTCCTACCTTTGCACAGCCCCGTTCCCCTCCAGGCAGGACCCCCAGTTCCTCCTTGCAGCAGGTTGTGGCGATGCTCTTCCCCTTGCCAGCACTTTTAAGCTTGTTAGGAGGATGCTGCGAGCTGACGGGGAGGTCACTGCCGCTCCTGCTTGTAGCTGGATGGGTCACTCGGCATCATTAGAGCAGTCTCGAAGTGGGGCTGCTGCGGGAAAGGCCGTTGCCATGTTTGCAGCTGATGCCTTCAGCAGGGGATGGGGCTTTCGCTGCTGCTCTGCTCTGGGTTTGGCACTTGTTGGCCCAAAGGAGCGACCTTTCAGGTGACTTGGCCCCTCGTTGCCACCGCAGGTCCTGCAGGGAGAGGTGATTTCTGTGCCCTTTCACCCCGCTCTGGGTTGAGTTAAAACACACAAAGGAATAAAGCAGGAGTAAAGGTGTCAAAGGAGCCCTTGGGTACCCGAATGCTGCTGCTTCCTGCGGGGTAAAACCCGGCTCAGATGCACGGACACCCTTAGATCCAAGCCTGGGTTTGTCCCCCAAGGCCAGATGTGGAACTGGGGCTGTTGAGCATCATCTGGTGGTGGCTGTGCACCAGCAAAAGGAGTGTGAGCAGCCGGTCATGGATGTGATCCTGCCCCTCTGCTCTGCTCGGTGAGACCCCACTTGCAGCACTGGGTGCGGTGCTGGGGTTCCCAGCATAAGAAGGGCATGGAGGTGGTGGAGCAAGGGCAGAGGAGGCCATGAGGATGCTCAGGGGCTGGAGCAGGTCCCATAGGAGAACATTGGGGCTGGAGCAGAGAAGCTGCGTGGGGAGCTCAGAGCAGCTTCCAGTGCCTGAAGGGGGGTACAAGAATGCTGGAGAGGGACCTGCAGCAGGGATGGGAGCGATGGGACAAGGGGTGATGGGGTCAGACTGGAACAGGGGGAGTTCAGGTTGGAGATAAGGAAGCTCTTCCCTGTGAGGGTGCTGGGGCACTGGGATGGGTTGAATGGAGAAGGTTTGGATGCTCCATCCCCGGCAGTGGAGCGAAGCCCTCAGCTCCCTGAAGCTGCAGGAGCTCAATGAACCTCTGAGGGCTGCTCCTGGTGGCAGCTGCCTCTCCGGGGCAGTCTGGAGCTCTTGGCTGTGCAACATCCATGGTTCAGTGCTCAGGGCACTAAAGGTGCCCGGTGTCACCCTGTGCGCTGTCAATGGGCAGAGAAAAGCAGGACCCCGCTTCCCCTTCATCCAATGCCAGCCCCAGAGGAGATGAGGGCTCCAGGTCCTCATCTTCCTGTGCTCTGCCCCCGGGGACCTTTGTGCCTGGGGCTGGGTAATTACTGTGCTACCCCAGAGCTCCCTGCAGCTCCCATCACTGTCAGCACGGGGCTGGTGCTCAGCAGGAGCTCATCTCAAGGAGCCTCTTAATGAGAGCCAGCGGTGGCCTCAGCAAGGAGCCTGTCATCAAGGGGGGATTAATGAGCTCAGCCTTGCAGGAGCGCTCCGGCTCTCGCACCCATCACTCCCATAGGGGTTTCTGAATGGCACCCAATGAGCTCAGCCTTGCAGGAGCGCTCCGGCTCTCGCACCCATCACTCCCATAGGGGTTTCTGAATGGCACCCAATGAGCTCAGCCTTGCAGGAGCGCTCCGGCTCTCGCACCCATCACTCCCATAGGGGTTTCTGAATGGCACCCAATGAGCTCACACTGACTCTGGTTGTGATGTGCCCCCCCCCAGCCCAGGGGGACACCCGAGGAACCTGCAGTGCTCAGCTCAGCCAGCACCGAGCTGCTTGCTCCTCCTAATGAGGTCTCCCTTGTCGGAGTGGGTTGGAGAAGGGTCCTACAGGAGCTTTCCCCACTGATGGTGGGCTCCTGGTTCCAAGCATCCTCTGTGGTCCTACCCTTTGCACCCGGTTGAGTTGCTGGTGGATCTGCCACCCTAAAGGACCACACCATGGGGGCATGAACCTATCTTATAAGATCATAGGATCATGGAATAGCTTGGGTTGGATTGGACCTTCAAAACCATCTGGTCCAGTCTCATTGCAACGAGCAGGGGCACCTTCAATTAGATGAGGTTGCCCAGAAGCACATCCAGCCTGGCCCGGGTTGTGTCCACGGATGGGGCATCCACCACCCTCTCTGGGCAACCTGATGTGCAGGAAGAGCCGGATTTTGGCCCATTTTGTCCCATTTTATGTGTGTATGGACAGCAGGTGGCGGCCTTCCTCTGTCAGAGAGGAACCAGGAGCATCAACGAGCGGGGAAAAGAGCCTTAAGCTCATCCAGTTCAACCATTCCAAGGCCACCACTAACCCATGGCACTGGGGGTGTGTGAACGTGCAGGGACGGTGACTCCAGCCTGTTCCAATGCCCGAGCACCCTTTGGGTTGGGTTTGGAATTGTTCCTCAGCTCCATCTAAACCTGCCCTGGTGCAGCTTGAGGCCGGTTCCTCTTGCCCCATCCCTTGGGAGCAGAGCCCAGCCCCTCCTGGCTCCATCCTCCTGTCAGGCACTTGTAGGGAGCAGTCAGGTCCCCCCTGAGCCTTCTCTTCTCCATCTGAACCCCCCAGGCCCCTCAGCCCTTCCCCATCACACTTGGGCTCCAGGCCCTGTACCAGCTCCGGTGCCTTTCTCTGGCCCTGCTCCAGCATCTCAATGTCTCTGTTGCTATGACCTCTCCATCCTTCCCTTCCCTCACAACATCCTCTCATTGCTCCACAGCTGCTCACCAGTGATTGGGGAGCTGATGGTGACTGGGGTCAGATCAGAGGCTCTGTCCTTTCACCTGGGTCAATCAGTGCATTTTACTCCCTAAACCCCATCAATCAGCACAGCAATCGACCTCACCTGGTTGAGCTCTTGCTGCCTATAAAGCCTGGTGCTGAGTCCATTCATGGTCTTTAGCCCTGTGAGTTTGCCATCCCTCCTGGTCATCTTTGGCTGCTCCTTGCTCCCTGTGCTCTCAGCAGGATGCTCTGCACTGAAAGGTGGGTGCTTCCCTTCCCCTTCCAAAGGAGAGTGGATGCTAAGGGCTGTGCTGGGTGCTATGAGGTGCTTTGGAGCAGGCTCAGCCCCTTGGGGCACCCTGGCCCAGCACCAAGCCATTGCTGGGTCATGCTGGGGCCCAGTGGGAGCTGCACTGGGGCAGCTCTGGGCAAGTGAAGCTATGAGTGTGTGAGGAGCATCTGTGGTGATGCCCATGGGGTTGGGTTTGTGTTATATGGGTTTAGTGCTGGTGTGCTTGAAGCCTGCCAAAGCCCTTATGTGAGGGGTAGGGTTGGTTTGCTTTTATACCCTCCTTTCTCTGCGACAAGGGGAGATGGTGGGGAAGGGTTTGTTCCTGCTCAATGTCCCCTCTTTACCATGGTTCATTTCTGCTCCGTGCCCCCTTGGCTTTGCCATATGGAGAGCTCTGTCAGGTTTGTTTTCTCACCTGCCTCTTCTTCCTGCCCGTGATGCTCTCAAGGTCTTGGGGGCCCTCATGAGA